ATCACCGCTTCTGCATAGTCGATCACACGTAATATCACGCGATCGTCAGAGATAAAACAAGTTAAAAGATCGCCGTCCTCTTTTTTTCCGACTCTGTTTCAGTTTCAGACTCTCATATGCGTGATTATACGCTTTTCAACACCATGCGCGTTTCAAAAGTACAATGAGCAAAGTTACATTTTAGATCTTTTTTTTTATTTTTTCTCTTTTTTTTCTTTTCTCTTTTCTTATCTCTCTGGACGAAAAAGAACGTGTAAAGAAGCGTAAAGTTGATTGAATTTTAAAAAGTTGATCCATTTTTTTATACAGTGAAAATAATTTCGTAGGAAAAAAGATTAAAATTGGAAGATTGAATTTGTTTAGCAGTTCGTCTCTTAAATCTTATTTCACTTCTAATTAACGAGATAGTTCTGTTTGTTATTTATAAAAGAGTTGGGCGTTATTCAAATTGTTTCCAATAAATATTTATCGAAGATATTTGTCTAAATAAATTCTCACTCTTTCTTTTTGAATAAATATTTATTATTCGAATAATAATAACGAATGAATTTGTTTCCAGTAATTTTGCACGAGTATTTTTATGGGAATACTTTCGATAATATAACACTCACATTTGTGTATTTGCTTCGTAAGTGTGATGTTCTTAAGTATGTTCTTCTATATCAGAACAAATTGCACATTAATACAAATTTATTAGAAATTATTGCATCGTTTATCGCAATTACTTGCGATAAATTGTGAAAACGTGATGCAAATGTCAATAACAAAAATAATTTGTAAATCAAAAAAATAACGTAAACATTTGATTAATTGAATTAAAAAAAAAATCATATTATTGCATGTGTACACTCTCTTTGTTTTTCATATATAAATAATTGTATTGAAAATTGCGATGAATGAAAAAAATAAATGATTTGAAATCTGAGTGAATAACAATTCTGATTTAAACGAAAAATTAAATATTTTGAATGGAAAATTCTCGAACTAAATACCACAGAAATATGCTTTTTTCTCAAATTGTGAAGTAATCATCTGTGTAAATTGTGAGTCTGTACATGCAGAACTAAAAGGATCATTAACGTCGTCTCCTAAATATAAGTCACATTTAAAACACAAAGGCACAATTCTCCAAGAATGTACGTGGAAATTATATCAAAACGAAACGGTATTTACACCGAAAAAAAAAATTTGCCTAAAATTTCTTTTAGAAAAAAATATGTTGCGAATCTATTAAAAGAAAATGCAAATAAATAATTATAAAAACAATTCAAATATAACAAGATACGTTACAGGCGTAAACTGTAAGATAATCGATATTTTTGACTTCTTTTTTTAAAACTTCGAGAATTAAAGAATGTAAAAAAAAAAAAAAATGATTTCTATGACAAATAGAATATCATCCTCAGAAAATAAATAAATTTGCATAACAGTTTTACAAGCAAAAATAGAATAGAGAATTGCGTGAAATACAATTGCATTTTAAACATAAATATATTATTGCAGTTAATGTGATTGGAGAAATGTGTTTCATCGATCTCATTTACATCGATTAGATATTCTTTCATTCAATCGACTATCAACAATTTTGTCGTGATTCAAAGTAAAATAATTTCAACATTAAATCAATGATACGATTTCTACAATTTCTATTCGTCATTTGTTACACGAGTGTCGTATCGTATAAAGGATTAATTAAAAATAACGATGTTTATATAAATAGACAATTTGTTTCACATGACGAAATGTCAATCCAGTATTACTGTTATTAAAACTGTATTTTAACTATACGCAAAGATGACAAATCGATCGATAAATTAATCAATTTGTATCGATCAATAATGTCGATACTATATATCATATTCTTTCACCAATTTCTACATTCTGTATTTCCGTATTTTATAACAGAGAATTATTCAGAATTTTCTTTTTTACTATTTTTTTTTATCTTTTTTTCCTTTTTAATATCGCACTTACGTACATTCTCCACAAATTTATAATTGTGATAAATTACGTTATTAATTAAATTTTATCGTATATAAATTACGATTTTCTCCAAATGAAATTATTAAAGAAATTACTAAAGAAAGATTTGATTAAATTACTTACATTCATACGTTCTCGTATACATCATCCTGGCAGTTGTTCGAAATAACAATAACTTTTGAAAAGAATTAATATAATTTAGATAAATATTTTAACAGTATTAATTTTTTCGATCTTACATGATGTATCTATCATCGCTTGTTATTGGAGGAAATTTCATCGTAGATTTCTAATGAAAGGATCGTTTGTCTTATACATAATGTAATAACACGGTAGATATAACGGACTGTGAATAATGAACAAACGTTACATTATCAAACGTGAAAAAATTTTACTCAATATTTTCTAAACTATTACTCGAAAAATTACTCGAAAAATTAGATTAAACGAGAAAATTAAAATTTATTTCTAGTAATAACTAGATATAATATCGTGTTTATTTTGTCTATATGTCACTGATACAATTTAGCTCATGCTCCGTAATATTATTATTATATAACATCTGTATCGAAATATAAATTTTTACACAACGTTTTATAATATAGTTAATAGTATAATAATACATTTTGTTACATCTATTACTTTATATTATTAAATATAAATAAATCTCTATATATATATATATATTTGCTTCCCATTTTTAAATAAAAATACTTAATTTTTAAATAAACTTCTTTTACTTCTTTCTTTTACTCATAATTCTTTGCATTTGACAAAAATGTGCAATTTCACGTAATTTCTCAATTTCATAGTCGGATACGTTCCAGATCAATAAATCTTTTAATTGTTCCAATTTCCCTGCCATTTGTCCTAATGACTGATCTATTTATTCGCTTTTTTTTTTTTTTTGAACGACGAATCGAAATGTATTTTTTTGCCAAAAAAAAAAAAAA